GTTGCCTGCTTCTGCGTAGCGACCCTGGAAAACACTAACCAGAGCCGGCCCTCCTTAGCTTTGGAGACCTGAGGAGATGGGGCTAGCCTGGGCCATCCGGGTCAAGGCCAAAGCCGCCGTAGCTCCCGTTCAATGTCAAGGGCAACCCCTTGAGAAAGCCTCGCCCATGGCCAAAGGTTTGATTGGTCATTTCAGGCGGCCATGGGAACGCAGCCTTCCCCCACAGCTGCTCCTCTCCATCCAATCTCTTTGCCTTTTCTGTAGCCCTTTCACCCCCCTGGGCCGTTCCTCCTTCCAGCGCTCCACTCCTGAGGGCTACTTGCTTTCTTCCTCTCGGCCCTCTGCTGTTTCAGGGCCTCAGTTGTTCCTTTCCCTGGCCCCCTCCCCCACCGCTTTGCCAGCCCCTTCCCAAATCCCACCAGTTTAACCAGTCCGCTCTCCAGCCGGTGACTGGCCAGAAACCCTCCTCTCTTTCCTTCCCCTCTTACATCAGGGCAGTTCAGCCAATCCGCCGAAGCTTTGTCGCTGCTGTCCAATGACTCTTTCCTTTCATGGATTACGCCTTCTTGCATTCATTCATCTCTAAGATGACACTATCTGCTTTCCTTAATGAGCGCGGAGACTGGTTAAGAGACAGGAGGAGCACTGCGACTGCTGTTTGCTCATTTCTGGCCAGCTCTCTACGAGCATTTGCTGAAACCCGGGCACTCCCAAGGCTTGGAGGAGATGAGGACCCCCCAGTTTATATGTGGGTTTTCTGGTCCACTCGGCCATGCCAGTGTGCTGCCATGGGATGGGCACAGAAGAATTTGTATGACTTTAACCCAGCCGTCGCTGAGCTGGCGAGGGTTAACGAATTAAGCCTTTGATGAGGAGAATGCCAGGCGGGGCTCATAAATCAGTCCGCAGCGGGGATGTTTCCTCCCCTCCCGTGCAAATTTCTTGGCAAGTCCCGAAGGCTAGAGGGAAAGCCAGCTGCCTTCTGGGGCAGATGGGAATGGAGATTTCAGCCCTGTTGAGCTCATGCTGGGTCCCCCCCCCCTTCAGTGCTCCTTGTTTAGAGTCTGAGGGAGGTTAATCAAGGTGACGGGGCCGTGGATCAGCGGTGGAAAAGTTGCGGGAATAAAGTCCTTTCTTTGCTTGAGCCCGCCAAGAACTGCTGCCTCTCAAAGCGGAGAATGCTGCAGTTCTTGGTCCCCTGAGCAGCCTCAGGCCCGTGGCTACAGTTGGGCATTTCAGGGCCCTGCCCCCTTAATTTAAAGCCCCGCCTCACAAATAGCCACGCCAGCAGTCTTATTTTTGAAGAGACACACACACCCCCACGCTGCCTGGTGTTGGTAGGGGCCAGGGTGGCTTCCCCTTGGGCTTCCCTCCCCCTCCCGCTGTGGAATTGGGGAGGGGCATCATGGGATATGGGAAAAGACACCTCAGGGGGGCATTGAATTGCCTTTTGAGTCCCCTTCCACAAGACAAGAAAGCTTAGAGGGGCACTCTGGAGTGGCACCTTCAATAGATCTCCAACAAATCCCTGTTCCTGCTTGCCCACTCCTGCTGTATACCATTTAGGTCATGGTGCATCTTTCAGAAGCATTCCCATGAGCCTTTGGGAAACACACTGGGTTTTTCTTTCTTAGGAACTAACACGTTTGCTGCCCCGTCCCTTGAAAGGAAGGGCTGGAAACAGGCTTGGAGCCTGCCCCTTTAATGAGAGGCATTCAGATTAATCTAATTAACTGTAGTTTAACGGCCCCCTTTAAAAATTAAATGCCCCCCTGGCTACGGGCGCACCTGCTTGGCATGCAGAAGGTTCCCAGGCTCAGTCCCCGGCATCTCCCGTTCAGGGAACTGTTAGATATCAGGAGGGCTACTGCCAGTTGGCGTGGGCAGCCCAGGGCTGAACAGAGGAGCACTCTGACTTGGCCTGAGGCCGTTTCATATGGGTTCCGCGGAGCGCACTGACTGGGAGCGTTGGGGGCAGGATGCATGTGCCCTGTGGGCCTGGAGCGCCTCAGTCCCCCTCCCGTGGTGGATGCCAAACCTCTTTGGTGCCAGCTGCCTTCAAGCCAACAGTAGACTTCAAATGGACAAAAGATTTCTGCGGGAGTCTTGTCTGCCGACGGGAAGAACCATAGAAAATAAGCAGAGCGTATAAAAATGGAAACAGAACGTGTTCTTAAATGCGTGAGGGAGGGCTGTTGGAAAACATTCGGGCTTTAGCGGCATCTTTTCCTAAGACGCTGGCTTTGTCTCCGGAGCTTCCACTTGAAAGACCCAGTTGACTGACAGGCCTTTGTTCTTTTCTCCTCCCCGCCTAGATTTGGTGCTGTACTGCGAAGCCTTCTTGACAACTTACCGAACCTTCATCTCCCCCGAAGAACTCATCAAGAAGCTGCAGTACAGATATCCTTTCGGAATGGCCAGCACTTTTCCGCCCTGGAGGCGCGTTCGGAAGAGTGACAGCAAAGCCTGCGGGGGACTCGCAGATGGTTGGCTTCTGGGCTAGGAATTCCTTAGCTCAGCTTACAACCCAATTGGCTAGCTTCTGAGTGCACTGGGGCATTATGGGTAGAGCAGGCCCACCCTCCCTCCCTACTGTGGCAGGGTGTCATGGGCCGTGCAGAGAGAAGAGCAAAGGGTAGGATTTGCTTTCCCAAGAATATTAATGCTTCCTTTGAAGAGGAAGGGAACTCCCGTCCGTCACAGTTGGTCTCCAGTTTTTGCCTTTGTGTTTTTCTGTCACAATGACTCTAATCTGGGAGAACCGGGTTTGATTCCCCGCTCCTCCACATGCAGCTGCTGGTGTGACCTTCGGTTCCTCTCACTCCCCTCCACTGCACTCCCCCTTTCTCCGTGGTCCCCCTGCCACTCACACACCCACAGACTCATGGAGGAGGAAGAGAAAGAGAGGAGATTGGATTTATTCCCTGCCTTTCACTTCCCGAAGGAGTCTCAGAGCGGCTTACAAACTCCTCTCCCTTCCCCTCAACAGCTCTCTGAAGTAGATCGTCTGGTGAGCTCTACCGCTCACGTTGCTGAATCCTTCCCTTCTCCTGTTCCTCTCACTCCCCTCCACTGCTCTCCCCCTTTCTCCGTGGTCCCCCTGCCCATTCAGCCCTGCCGCTCACACACCCACAGACTCACGGAGGAGGAAGAGAAAGAGAGGAGATTGGATTTATACCCTGCCTTTCACTACCCGAAGGAGTCTCAGAGCGGCTTACAAACTCCTCTCCCTTCCCCTCCCCACAAACAGACACTCTGTGAGGTAAAAGAAGAAGAAGAAGAGATTGGATTTATGCCCCGCCCTTCACTACCTGAAGGAGTCTCAGAGCGGCTTACAAACTCCTCTCCCTTCCCCTCCCCACAAACAGACACCCTGTGAGGTAAAAGAAGAAGAAGAGATTGGATTTATGCCCCGCCCTTCACTACCTGAAGGAGTCTCAGAGCGGCTTACAAACTCCTTTCCCTTCCCCTCCCCACAACAGACACCCTGTGAGGTAGGCGGGCCTGAGAGAACTCTTGACAGAAACTGCTCTTTTTCAAGGACAGCTCTTGTCAGAGCTACGGCTTGCCCAAGGTCATCCAGCCAGGTGCAAGTGGAGGAGTGGGGAATCAAACCCGGGTCTCCCAGATTAGAGTCCGCGCACTTAACCACTACACCAAACTGGCTCTCCCCAAGCCCCTCCTCTTGTCCTCCTTGCACCCTTACCTATAAGCAACAAGGAAACATGTGGAATGATGCCTGGTAGTGAGTCCTCGAGCCCCACACACCCCCTTCTCACCTTGGGGTGTGGGACCTCTTACAGTGTTTGCAGCCTTCTGCCATCCGGACACGGTCCCCGCCACCACTCTCTATGGGTGCAGGGCTACCTCCGAAGCGTATAGCCAGGGAAAGGAGCAGGCTGCCAGGAGAGAACGCAGCTAGGAGTGCACCTTCCTGCCTAGTCCCTAGTCTTGTCCTCACCACCTGGATCAGTTCCGTCCTGGGCATCCAGAAGGCTGTTTGCTTGGTTCAGCCGACCCAGTGTGGCTGCCGGGAACTGCCCTCTACGCGGCGCTGTCCTTTCTCTGTGGAGGTTTATGGGGATGCCACTGTTTCTCCACGAGAGTAGGGCATCTCCAGCATCAGTAGACGTCCTCCTCTGTCCTGTGATTCCACTCAGCCAGCCCCCCCCAACAACAACAGGGGTCATGTCTAGGCACAGACATCCCACTGTAAAGGGACAGAGTGTGATTGCTTCCCTCAACGCCCCAGAATGCCACAGGCTCTTCCGCACGGGCTTTAGCTACCATTGCCCTGAGGCGATAGATTTTCAAACCTCAAACCACCCACGCCGCTCTCAAAACAGGTAGACGCCTGTTGGATTCCCGCTTGCTCAAGTGCCGGCACGCTTTGGAGGCCCGATGTCACGCTGCCCTCGGGCTGACTCAGCACTGCCACCTGCAGCCCAGGAGAGACACCTGCGGCTACTGATTAATTGGCACAGCGGTCTCTGTGTCGCCCTCGCTGCTGGCGGCTGGACGTGAATGCCTTGCCATGGGAGCAGTAAATCGTCCTTCCTTCTGCACAGAGGGAGATGTCGAGCAGCATTCTTCTTTGCTCCTCGTGCTGAAAGTGGTGATTTTTTTAAAAAAAGTACAGGCTGCTTTTGTTTCTCCGTTGCCTGGCAGGTTTGCACCCCGGCCCTTAGCACCCCAGCCAGTACCGGGGCACGGGCAGCTCAGAAAGTGGGAGGGCGGAGATACAAGTCCCAGTGAGATGGGGTGGGACCTCAGAGGGGCAAACCGTGACGCATCGTGCAGGAGGCAGAAGCAGGGCCGGGAAAGCAGGCAGGGAGATCGGAGGACGGGCAGAGACCCCGACGAGGATGGGCACTCAGAGGAGACCGACGGGTAAGGCCAGAATCAGGATGAAGACCCGGCACGTTCACCACCTGGCGGTTCCAGACGGGACCCGTCGGCTGCTTCGGTGGGTGGGTTGCACAGTATCCAGAAGAATCCAGCCGATGTTCTAACCAGGGGTCATTTCGTAGAAAAAGAGGTGCAGGAGCTCATTAGCATAACTCATCAGCATAACCTGTTTGCATACGCCACACCCCCTGACATCACCGGAAGTGTGTCAGAAGGAAACACCCACCGTTCAGGCTCTACTAGACTGTTTTGGATTGCTAGCTATTGGGGGGGGGGAACGTGCAGATCTGCCCTCACAGAGGAGGGAG